CACATCTCTTAATGCAGCTTACAAAGTGCCAGCCGCCAGCAACGAGCAGGCAGCTCCTCTTTGTTCTCCTCCACTAATGCGCCACAGCTAAGGGTAAAGAGCACAGAAAAACGGTCAGAGACTCCCAGCAAGATTCATTACTGCTTCACCAGGCTTTTAAGCAGCCTAAGCAAAGATTAACTTTATCTCTCCTGGCAGGAGTTCATGCACAGACACAAACGCATAGACAGGCGCAGACATACAGGCTCTTGAATCTCAGTACTGGCCACTTTATCTGTCACAGGCAGTGTCTTGATTTCCCAGTAATTAATCTGGTCATTTTCTCTGGAATAGTCCATCCACAGCTTCGAAAGTGTGTCTTGGCTTCTTGTTTTTCCTTTTGTTTACGTGTCTGCTGAATCCAGCTTCTCCCCAGTTCTGTGGTGTAACGAGCCTCTGCAATCCACAGAGACTTGAGCTTGAACAGTTAATGGAAGGGGTGAACTTCTTTTTCCTTGGAGCCTTAAGAAAAATAAACTTTAATGATGTTTTACGTGCAGGTTTCAAGAAGCAGGCCTAATTATGCCTTCAAAGTTATATAACACCCATTGAAGTGAGTTGAGATGAGTTAAAGTCAGCAGATGTTGTGGGTGTGTTGTAGAAGTGGAATACTGTACTGTAGGTATGCAGACTTTCTGTATGTTCTAGCTGTTTAGTCACCAGTGTCCATGAAGGAACAAGCCCTACAGACCAGTACTCTCATATCTCTCTGTTTTCACTGCCTTTCAAGGCATCCTGATGGAGATGGTATACTAGAAAAAATCGAATTGCAGTAATATTTCTTACTTTATAATAATGACTATTTTCTTATTTTCCAATAATTCTTATTTTTGGTAAATTGTTGGTAACTTTATTACCATTATAAAGGTAATAATGTGTATTTTTACAAAGCCAGAATTACAATCTGATACTCCAAAAACAGTAACTCAACATGTCTTAAAGAAGAAAAGTACAGTACTTCATTTTAAACATCTTGTACTGTAAGTTTAACAGAAGTCATTTAAGGTTTTTTTTGTCAAAAATCTGAAAAACACAGTGACAGGCTGAGTGACAATCTGAGAAATGTCTCAGCCATGCTTTTCACTCTTTTTTTTGTTGCCGTAAGTTGAACCTGGAACAGAGGATAAGTTGGTTTCCATCTTTATGGTTTGTTCGTGATGATGGTTCTGCTTCTCCACGCCCTGCTGGGGACAAAGTGTTGTTTCAGTAGATATGTTCATGGCTTACTAAAGTATTTAGAAAATTCTAGATTTCCATCAGCCCTTTGGCAGGTAAACATATTTAAATTATGCTGGAAACTGCTAGATTTTTTGGCCTTTTAAGATGTTAATTTTTTTGGAATGTGTGCTTGATTTGAGAACTATCATCATGAGGGGCTGAAGTTTTTCTCCTGGTGCTGATGATTCACCGTATAGTGTTCGTGATTCCAGAGTGGCTCTGTGCTGCCTGAAAAAGAGCCTTATGTGTGAGTGGGCAATTTTTCAAACAGACAGCCTGTTTATTTCTTTTTTTGTCTGTTTGCTGATTTGGCTCGACAAACATGCTAATTGCTGCTAACTGTTAGTCTCTTCACCTGTTCACCTGCACAAATGTGTTATTGGTAATGAAAATAATCTCTCTGGTGCACCCATGCACTCCAAACTAATTCCCCAGCCTTTGAAAATCGACATATGTCATCTCAATAGCAGATCTGGTTCTTTACTGATTGAGGGTTACCAGATTAAGTGGAGAGAGATTAATCATTTATACCCAGCTCACAACCCCCCTGCCCCTCTGAGCGGTACCATTATTTCTTATCGAATAACGGTAAAAGAATGTCTCTGCTCATAAGCGGAAATCTGCCTTGGATGGAGGAGCTGGGGTGCTGATGTTGTTTGTGCTGCACTGGGTCAATTCCAGACAATCGCTGATTTCAGCAAAGCAGGAGAAGGGTAGACATCTGACCTGTGAGTGCTTCGATCACCTGGCAGTGAGACTCCCATCGATTCCTGGCTGGGGGCCCAGGAGTGTTCCTGGGCAATGCAAGCCATCACCCTCCCCACTCTACCTCAGGTCCTCCGGGGAAGTATAGTGCAGGAAATCCCTGGTGATCCTAGTGGACAGCAGAGAGAGGCACAGAAAACAGCAGCATCACCTACCTGCAAGACCTGAGCAGCGGAGCACAGCATCCAATAGCCGAATTTTCCAGGAAGCCAAGGAAAGCTTCTGTTTCTCTGTTGTATTTTTGTATCACTTCTGCATCAGTTATTTAGCTGATGCTTTTATCCAAACTGACTTCCAGGGGCTAGGGGCTGAATTATGTCATCGGCAGCTGCTGCTGCACAAAGTTTTACAATAGGACCTCATTCTGATGTTTCAGTATGCCCGGGGAGACATACAGCGAGTTGATGACAGCTAGCCAGGGCTTGGAACTGGGAAGGAATCTTTTATGTTGGCTTCTGGATCAGCGAGTTTTTAAAATATTTTTATGGGCATTTGTTTGCTTTTGCAACTTGAATTAAAGCATAAGGCTCAGCTGAAGTGCCACTGAGTTCAGAGTATTGAAACAGGAAGAAAACTTATGATAAATAAAACGCTAGGGAAGACATGATTGCCTGCTGAGGTCTCACTTTCTGCAGTTTGTCTAAGGGCAGAGAGATTTGACTTGATTTTGGGCCTCACATAGTTTATCAGCACTTCTCAGTCCTCGAACATGTGCCATGACCTGTCCAATCCACAAGGGTTTTCGAACTCCATATTTAAGCTGTGGCTGTAAAATTACTAAAGAAAAAAAAGCTGTGGATCTATTAAATATCTCTTTTTGTTAATTATACAGATGCATAGAAAGCATAATTAAAAGCTTAAAACCTTAAAACTGCACAATACATAAATAAGACCTCATTTTGAATGTAGTGTACAGTTTTTGCAGCCACATTACATTGCAAATATTAAATAGCTGATGTGAAATTAGTACAACTAAGAATGACCAGGTACTGTATATTCCCTGAAAGGCTAAAACAAATATGTCTGTATGATTAGAGAAGACAACGAGGTGACCTAAGTCAAGTATTCAAAATCCTCAAAGATACTCATACAAGTTATACAGGTTAGAAATGAACCCATGCAGCTGGACATTGAAATCAACATTAATTACAAAAAAGTATAACCTGCCTGGATATGAAATGCAGAAAACCATGAAAAAGCAAGGTGAATGCTTACGATAAACAAGAGATCTACATAAACTGCAGCTACTATGACAATTTCCTGCAGTAGATTTTCTTAAGGGTAGTAAAACACAACCCGTTTGAACAGTTTCCCATCTGATTACCTTTTCCTGCACTTTATTAGTACTCAGCGGCTGTATACGGTGTTTTTCTCCTGCTTTGGTCATTTATATGTGAAACATACTGCAGATTTGGCACTGGAACACTGCATTTTGACAGGAGACTGTCCTTTTGTTTTTTTTTCTTTTTCTCTCATTAAACTGACAGCAACCTGTGGCTCTTAGCAGAATTCTAAAGAAAATTCTAAAGCTGTCAAAAAATTCTGACAAGCATCCTCCTGCCTCCCCCCTTTCATGGGTGAATCAGGATTCCTTCCGCTGTCCATTCGAAACCTCAGTGACAGCCTATGGCGGGGAAGCGGAACGGACAGGCGGTGGGTGTCCTGAGGGACAGGGAAGCTTTCCCTTCCTTGTCCCAAGGCCTTCTGGGTGCCAGCAGCTACCCCTGACTCTGACAAGCCTGTATCTGCTCTGACATGGAGCCTGACGTTGGAAGAAGTTAGGGGTGAGGCTGGTGAGGCAGACAGGCTGTGAGTCACGAGTCTGCTGTTGGGCAGTCAAACACCAACAGATTTCCTTCAGTTCCTCTCACACTTGGGACCAGCAATGTGAATGAACAAAGTGTTAATTGCGAAGTGCATGTAAGCTGATAAGCGATCAAGCCCATGTTGGCTGTGCAAATTAATGGCTGCAATATCTTGAACCAGGCTGAAAGAGGGGGCACTTGTGTTGTCTTGCTTTCGTTAGACCGAGAGAGTGAGGACTTGTGCACACTCTCTTGCACCAGTGTTAAGGAGAGTGGGGACTTGTGCACACTCTCTTGCACCAGGCACTGGTGGAACTGTGCATTCTCCTTTGCACTGGGCTGGGGAGACAAGCTTAAGACCTGAGTTAACTAGTTCAGTTAAGGCTTCACTGACCCAGCATTTAAGGAAATAAGAAAAATATTTGCAGTTAATGATACTGGTATTGCACAAGCAATAAGAAAAATCAGCAGCCAAGTGAACTGCTTCTAATTTATTCACATTGGTTCAGATGAACTTAATTGGTGACCCAAGGTTAAATCCTCTAGTTAACTGATACTTTACATCCATTTCATTTTTTTTTCTTGAATCACCTCCAACAACATTAGTCATCAGAACAGAGGTACACATGCTGTTTTAGTTACCCACCCAGGAGGCGAGTTGTCATCCAGAGGGGAGAGGCCTAAGGAGTCTTTGTGAAGGCTTGGCGGGATATTTGCTCTCTCTCCTTCCCAGCTGAGGCCTGAACAAGAATCTTCTAAAACTCCATGAAAAGTCCCTGCCTTTCTTGTTGGTTACGGGGCACAGTAGCAGAGACAGGAGGACCATTAATGTAGAAACATTAGCGATGGCTATGGATCAGCACCTCACAGCTGATTACATCTTTAGCCATTGGCTCTCTGTTTGCCCGACTTCCATGTGTATTTCACTCCATCTACTGTATAAACATCTGTCAAAGGTTGCTTCTTTTGAAGGAACTTGTGAGAGGCAGAATTAAAAGTCTTTTTAGATAGCTCTGTCTCCAATCTGGAACAGTCATTATGATTTAATTTATTTATTTCCTGCAATTCACAGTAATATCTATCCATGTAAAGATTAACAATGTGTGTGAATTATTAATTGCCGTAGCTTTGAACTATCTGTTAAAAGTAACAGTTTCTCATCATTCATTTCAGTGGAATTCCTGGAAAGAAGTGTGGCATCATCATTTTATCTGCTGAAGAACTGGGAAACTGCAGAGTAAGTACAGTGTTTCTTCGGGTTCTACTGAGTGAAGGATGTGACCACTCTTTCTCATGTTTGCAGTGCAGAGCCTAGTGAGTGCCATGCCTTTCTTAGCTGCGAGTCATTATGTTGCAATAAGGCACTCCAGATGAGACTGTCATTAGTGAAGGGTTGTCCTTTGCTCCTTTGACATTGCACCTGTTAACCACATGACATTGTGTGCACTACAGCCAGGAAAGAACCAAGTAGCAGCACATAAAGATGCTTGTCACATGGTAACAAGAAAACATGAAATGAAAACAAAACTGAGTGAATCAAAAATCAACCAGTCGATAATAATTTGAATTGACAAAGGGCCTTTTTTGGCTATCACGCCAAAGCCCTTTGGAATAAAAAGCATGTACGTGGCCCCCTGTGTGGCACAATCGCACAGAGCTCTATGGCTCAAACATCACTGATTCAAACTTGGAACATATCACTAGCGAATTATACCAGGCAGCATTCTGCTAATTGTGCAGGGTTGGGTTTAGATAGCCAGAACTGATAGCCCAATGTCACAGGCTGTTCTCTGTGTCTGGCAGAGAACCAGTGACACAGAGCAATGGCATTAGCGAGAGATATGTCACTATTGCAATTGCCACTAACTCTCCAAAAGGTGAGGGGTTGTGCCAGGTGGGCATGTCAGGTGGACATCTCTACAGATCCTCCTCCTCCCTCTGCAGTTACAGAAGTCTTTGCCAGAAAAGCCACATCTTACACTGCTGGTGATTCAATTTATCAGGAAAATAACAAGAACATGTATCACACAAGCATGTGGAAAATCTGAAATCACTCCATGAATTAAATGCCAAAATATATAATGCATGGCACACAAAACTCATGATACAGTGGAAGAACTAAAGTTTTCAGAATTGTTTAATGCAATGTCCAGTAAACTGCCATGTAGACGTACAGTATGTACCCAGGTAATGGAGAAAAGTGTCCAGATATCTGGATCACTGTTATAAGAGTTTCTCTGGGCTGTGTCTGTGTGCTAGTGAGAGGTATAGAAGATGACTTGGGAATAGGGTGATATCTGTGTGCCTCTTCACTGTTAGCTTGTCATTTCTATGCTCCATTTGCTTTTTTACTGCACAAGTTCTAAGTGATATTTGCGCTAGGCTTACTCTAATTAATGTTAAACATTGCCCGTGCTTCTTATTCTTTAATTATGGGTGCAATTGTGTTTGTCTTTTATGTTTTAATAACCTCCCAAAACGAAAATAAGCAAGTAAAGAATTACACTACTTAGGATGGCTCAATATTTACAACATTAATGATAACTAAAAAATGAAGGGCAAACGATGTACGCTGGATATATCAGTGAAAAGGCAAACAACAACAAAACAAAATAACTCAAGCTCGATGTGAACAGCATGGGATGAGTGGTGCTTTTCTGAAATGTTTAGTAGTGTCAGATACTGATGCTTTCAGACAAAATTCGGCATGATAGGATAGTGTCTGGTCTTGTCTCCTCATGGCACCAAGTAGGAGCTTTTAGAGGGCAGAAGGGTTTACATTATGCTAACTTGTGATAAAGAGTGAACTTGGAGGGAGTTTACTGAAAACCTCACAGCTGCCGTTTGCTGTTGAACAGATGTAATGGACTGTTCAATCATGGTCTCCTTGTAAAAGAGATTTGTGTTTCTTTTTTGAAAGCAGTTCTTATAATCAAATGTTATAATGATATTTTTTTTTAATTTAATGAATTTCTTACTGTTGCATACCAATAAGCAGTATACAGTTCCTTTGCCTTTCAGTGTACATTAAAATAGCTGTCATACACTTGAACCTTCTTGTTAGCAGATTTCACTTAGGAAGTATTAGTCATACAGCATCTGACTGTAAGACTCATTAATATGTTCTGCCATGCTCTTTAGAAAGCCTGGACGTTTGCGAATAGCTTTAGTTGGTAACAGAAGGTTGACAGAATTGAAGATATCATACCATATCAGAACTTAAATAGACAAACAATAACAACTCCCACTCTCCAGTCTTCAGCCTTTTTAATTAAAAAAGTAAGAATAAGAAGCTCTGTAGAACAGTAGCTAATACACAAGTTATTAACAGAAAAAAGTTTCACTGTAATCTAAGGAGTGATTAGATTGCTCTTCATAACTAAAGTTAGTTGCACAAATGTGTCTAAATTGGATTGTATGATGTTTTTGTCATGTAAATGCTATTAAAACCGAAAAGCATCCAAATTACTGCAAGCCGCGGCTTGATTGTGAAACACGTGAATTCACACAAAAAAGTGTGACATTATCAATTTGCTTTTGCTATTGCTGAAAGTAGGGATAACTTTAAACTCAAATTTAATCTCATCATATGTACAGTATATATACTTTTACACCTGTTATAACTATCCATTCATCTGTTTGCCAACCTACATGATTGTACACAATCATGTTCATCTATCTTTCTGACACAGACAGTCCTTTAGAGTCAGCAGCTACAGTATATTAACCTGCAACTCACAACTAGCAACCCCCTGAAGCTCAGCAGGTTTGAGCCTGGCCAATACCTGGATGGGAGACCTCATGGGAAAGCCAAGGTTGCTGTTGGAAGAGGTGTTAGTGGGACCTGTAGGGGGTGCTCACCCTGCCAAAATGCATGGGTCCTAATGTTCCAGTAGTGATAGGGAGACTGTACTGCAAAAAAGGTGCTGTCCTTCAGATAAGATGTAAAACCAAGGTCCTGATTCTCAGTTCTTAAAAATCTGGGTGTTTCTCGAAGAGAAGGGGTGTTAACCCTGGTGTACTGGCCAAATTTCCTCTTGGCCTGTGCCCATCATGCCCTCCTAATAATCCCCATCTATGAATTAGCTTCACCACTCTATTCTCCTCCCCACTGATAGCTGATGTGTGGTGAGTGTACTGGTGCACTATGGCTGATGTTGCATCATGCAGGTGGGGCTACACATTGGTGGTGGTGGAGGGGAGTCCCCATTCCCTATAAATCGGTTTGAGTGGCATGTCCAGAAAATTTTCTATATAAGCGTAAGGATAAATAGAACCTTTACAGGTATTTTCAGCTTAACAGATGGTCAAGACATAATGGTGATTTGACTTCTTATCCAAATAAAAAAATTCAATTTACTATTTTGGGTCAGAGGAAATGAAATTTTTTCTCATCAATACTGTGAGAAACTTTAAAAGGCACAGCTGCAAAGATGCACTCCTGGAGAGGCAGAATTCCAAGAGTAAATTGTGAAGATTCTGCAGAACATATCCAAGTCATGAAGTTGGTGACACCATACAGTAGCATAAGACAAAATTTCCAGCCTTGATGTTGCTTGGATTGCTGAGTGGTTTGTCAAGGATATCAAATGGTTCTTGCCTGCCGGGTTCTTTTGTTTTTTGGTGTTTTTTAGATTTCTTTAATGACTTATTATCTCATATAATATACAGAATAAATAAAACATTTGTGATACCACCCCTTCTTACACACACAATAAGTTTTAAGACAGGATGCACGGCAAACATAAAAATACAGAAAGCCTGGGAAAATGCTTTTCAGCTTTTCCTTTCAATTATTTTGAAAATGTCAGATAAAATCAACAGTATTGCAGCAGTGAGTGATAGGAAAGCCTGGAAATGGGAATAATTACTTTAGGAATTTATTGTGCTTTTCAAATAAGGAATGGTTCACAACCACTGGGGGCCCACTTCACCCACCACTGAAGTGCACCTCTATCTGGGTGACGCAGTGCAGGTCAGGTAGAGAAATTGTGCCACCTGTTGAGTTAAGGAAAAACATGAGCGAGGTGACCTTGTACAGTACCAGCCCAGAGTGGAATTTAACCAAGATGCCTGGGTCAAGATGCCTACTCTTAGGAACATTGCCTGGGATTTTGAGGGCTAGATCATGCACAAATCCAAAACAGACCTTTGATTTAGCATGTCATCCAAAGGACTGCTCATCTGCAGCATGTTCCCCTTAACTGGAACATTTGCAGCCTTTCCAAATGTTTTGGAGGATGTGGATCAACGTAGAGCCATGCAAGGAGCACAATGGGAGCAGGACATCATGTATTAGGAGAACCTTGCAGTGGAGCTCTAATTATACTTTTAAATTCTTGTGCACACTGATCAATAGGAGACATAATACTTTGCTTCATTTCTGTTTGACCATCCTTTACACACAAAGGGATCCAGAACCTTTAATCTGCACATCGTAGCATATTGAGCAGGGATTCAAAGCATCAATCGCATTGTAAACTGTTTCCCAGCTGCCTTTGTCCTCTGTCTCTGAGTCTCGGGTCTAATTGCACAGACGCCTACTCTTCCTTGATGTGTGACCATTTATCTTTCTGTTCTCCCCCCACATTAAAGTGGCAGGTGTGAGCTTTTCCATGCTGAGAGAGACCTCCCTGAGCGCAGATTTCATTATCTAATTTAGTCTCAGGAGTTTTTTTTACTTTAGTTTCCTAGTTTGGTTTACCTTAGACACCGGATCCCTTCCCCCCACCCCAGCACAGACTTTCTATTTCTCCAATGTGAATAATAAAATCATCCCTAATGAGCTCTCCATTCGTTTTATAGTTGCTGAAGTGCCTTTACATACTTGTGATAAGGGTAGCATGCCTGGTGTTTAAAGTGAAGTATTAAGCTTCACAACATGGAAACTGTGTTTATTAAAAAAGTCTTATAACTGCTTTTGTATGCTGCATCTTGTCACGTGCTAATGTCTGTTAACTGGATATTATTTATCATTACATATACAATATGTTCTTACATGCTAAAAATTGTCTGATGTTTATAGATGGTGGTAATTGTACCCTCGTTCTTTGCATATTGTTTTATTTGTGGATATTACATTGGATTCCTAATGTAAAACATAAATATTTGGGAGATAAGCTCACTAAAGCTTAAGATGGGAAACTCTATCAGAAAAAAGATATGAGGTTCATTTCAGCAAAGATTTCTCTGACACATTTGAAAGCTATTGCACTTACAGAGATAATGACACATCTG